TCTCATGGGCATCTAGAATGTCCATCCGCTGATGCCTGAGGACTCTCGGGTGGGACAGAGCAATCTCTTTAGCTCCCAGTATCCGCGGTGGGCCTGGCCTCAGTCTGGTAGAGATGATTGTCCTAGGGGAAGAGGTGAAGGGAAAGGGAGGGGTCTGCCTGCATGGGACATAGGGTGAGGCTGTGGTCAGAAGGAGCCTGTGACAGGTTGGGGTAGGGGTAGGACTGGAGCCTCTGTCCTGGGGTCCCTCCCTCCCTCAGGTCCTGGGCAGGAAGTGGTGCCAGGTTCACTGTGGGCAAAACACTGCGCTCATTGTGGACCATCTCTCCATAGCCTCTGGCGCTAGCTGTGGCAAAGCGACACAGTCCTGCGGAGTAGGTCAGAATGGTGGCCTCCTGCTTTCCCTGGTGGCCCTCCTGTGCCCATCTGGCCTCCTGCCTGTCTACTCTCTTCTCACATCTTCCTCTTACACTCAGGGTTTCACAAACCACCCAAAGCAAAGCCCCTCAAGCCTTTTTGCCTGACCGGGATTTAGGACAGAGTCTTTGCAGAAGCATGTCCAGTTCAATGGGCAGGACCTCCAAACCTCTAAGGCCACAAACAGTGGAACCCAACGGGGGAATCAGAGGGAGATGCTGACTCCTGATGTCCTCGGAGCTCTCTGCACCACCGGAGCCCTCCTCCTCCCACCCTCCCTGGCTCCTTTCCTGTACTCAGGCTGCGCACGCGCTACTAGAGGGTCCTCTGTGCGCTGGGACCTGTCATTGGGTTTAGGAGGAGCGACCCCACAGACTACAGGGCCTCTGCTGCCCAACACCTCCCTACGTGGGCACCCTCTGCTGGGCAAGGGATGGACAAGGACATGATTTATGGTTCCTTTCAGGGAATTATTGCTGCTAATGGGCAGAGACAATCTGAGCTTCCCAGGAGGGGAGGGCAAAATCAATTAATGGAGAATCTCACCTGGCCCGGCTGGCTGATGGCTGAGTGCCGTCTGACATCCGGAGGTGATAAGGGGCTACCTGAGGCTGAACTAATAGGGAGATTGGAGGAAAAAGGAGAAAAACAGAACCCCCAGATCAATTCCATGGGCAGAGAATGAGAGTAAATAGAGAGGCCTGGCCCAGGCCTCCTTCCATCTGAATGAGCCCTGAGATAAGGGAGAGGACCAGCTGCTCCCCCCTACCCCCGCCATGGGACATAGGTATTCACTTACAGAGTCACACCACAGACATCCACACAGATGCGAAGGAACACTTTCTAAAACGGAACCACAGGCCCCAGGTGCGTGCCTTGTAGGGGAAAGGGCAGGTGAGAGGAGGAGCCCTTGGTTTCCGATCCTGCCTCCCTAACAGCCCACCTAATCCCACCTCTTAGCACCAAGCAGCAGGTGCTGGTCGAGGGTGCTGGGGCGCCTGGAGGTCCCCAGGGCAAAGGCGTAGGAGCGCATCCTAGTGGAGACAGGGGTGGTGCCGCTTTGCATGAGTCTCTTTCTGCCCTGGAAACCAGAGAGAAGGATCTCAGAAGAGGTCCAGCTCACTCCCTGACCATCAGCATGACGTGGAAGCTGGGGCTGATTCAAGGGAAAGCATCCAGTCCAACGAGCAAACACACCTGTTATTGATCTTGTTCAGTGATTGCCAGTGTTTTTTTTTTTTTTTTTTTTTAAGGGACAAGATTCCTTTCCCTGAGCCTCAGTTTCAAGTAGTTAAGAGGGGACTCTGGTTGAATGGGGGGGCTCCCATTTTCTCCCTCCCAAGACCTTGATTCTGAGAGCCCCACACCCAGGATTCTGAAACGGGTGCCGTGGCCTATGTTGGGCTTCCACCGAGCAGATCCTGAGACACGGCGTGGGTGTGTTGAGCTGGGAAGTGATCCCAGAAGCCCTGCAGGGTAGTGGGACGGGGAAGGGACCGTGGCTGAATGGGTGTGTTAGGGACAGGTGACTGCTGTGGCTCTGGGGCTCCACCCACTGGGATGCCAGGGAGACTGGGCAGAGCACACCCCAGGGTGGCCCACAGAGGGGCCGGAGGCTGGGGTGCTCATCCTCCCTGGTGAGGTTTGTTCTGAGGAGCCGACTCCTGTTCTGCAGCCCAAGAGGGAGCCTCCAGGTGGAGAGCGGGTGCTCGGGGCGGGAGGCCGTGGGTGCAGCTGGGCACCGACCGCTGGAGCTGCACAGGCCTCGGGAGGATGGGGACGTGGGCAGGGTCCTGACTGTCACTCACTCCTAGTGTTCCACCCCTTTTCTCGGTCGCTTGGTTTGCAACTCCTGCAGGGATGTGGTTCCTTTGTGAACCTTGAAGGAGGGCTGGCCAGTTTGTCCATGCACAGTAGACAGACCAGAGTGGGAAGGCCAGCCCCTTCTCTCAAGGTGGCACTGGAAGCCCACAGCACTGAGTCCCCTGCATCCTCTCACCTCTTCAGACTGTGGAAGAACCCAGAGCCACAAGAGGCCCTGGACTGAGGCAGCCAGAGCCTGGGAGGATGTGGACCAGATGTGGATGAGGGGTGAGGACAAGACAGACTTCCTCTCGGTCCCTGGGAGAAGCAGGGCCTCCCCAGGGCCTGGGAGGGATAACGAGCTGACCCACTGAAGGGCAGGGACAGGGTGGAGGTCACTCTCAGGCACGAGTGGGTCTTGGGTCCTGGCAAATATTTTTTGTGGCACTCCATCTATATAAACATTTTTTAAATGTTTTATTTCGAGACAGGGTCTCACTAAGTCCTCGGGGGCCTCTGTAAGTTGCTGAGGCTGGTCTCGAACTTGCTATCTTCCTGCCTCAGCGCCCCCAGTTGCTGGGGTTACAGGCGTGCTCTGCTGTGCCGGCTGCTAGGAGCTGTCTGGATGGATGACGGCGTTGACCATGCCTGGTCCTGGTGTGGAGGGAGACTTCGGTAGTTTCCAGCAAAGCACTCACAGGGCAGGTACCCTAAGGTAGGGGGCCAAGGGCAGGAGACCCTCTTGCTGTAGTCTAAGGACAGTGATGGAAAACACAAACCCAGGAGATTGTTTTGGAGAAAAGATGACAACATCCCACAATATCCCTGGAGCCAGAGAAGGAACAGGCTGGCCTGGGGAAGGGCGGCCTCTCGAGACAAGGGGTCAGTTAAACCAGGGGTCAGAGCCTCCCTGCTGCCTGCTCTTTGCCGAGTCCCCTCCGTGGCTCACCCTACTGGTTGGCAAGGGGCCATGGGATCCCGAAAGACAGCAGTTCACTCAAGAGAGGGCGGCTTCCTCTTCCCAGGCTTCCAGGGTCACTCAGGGCCACACCCAGAGGCCACTCTCCATGCAGCAGGCGGAGCTGCATTAAAGGAAACCCTGCTGCCCTCACAAGTTCTCCCTGTACGTTTTCTGCTCCCACCATCCACAGCCAGCCTCTCTGCACCACCACGCCTCAGGGCCCTGACAGCCCCGAACGCACGGAACCTCTCTCACTCCACATTCTCATGTGGCCCAAGTCCCCACAGATCCCCTTTGCCATGCCTCAGTGTCCCGTGCTTCTCACATCACAGAACACCTACCCCTAGTCCTAGGGCTTCCTCCTCTGCCTGCCTTCCCATGCCCTGTCCCCGCTCTTACGTTCTTACCTGCTGACAGCAGGCCCAGGCCCATCTCGTCCCACCCTGCCTCCTCCTTCACTCAGATTCTCTTGTTTATTTATGCCCATCTCCCCAGTTAGAAGGTGAAGGCTGGCCCATTCTCTTGTCTTGGTCACCTCTGACTCCTCAGAACTTATCATGGTGGCGGTTCATCCTTGTGAAAGGGACGACTGGATGAAAAGAGGAACCGTGAGGGATCTCCCTCTGCCTGTATGTGCACATGTACCCATTGCACTGTAAAATGTTCCTTTCCACTTATTCTATCATCCGTGTCCTTCCTGGGGTCTGTTTCTTTTTCTACTGATTGTTTTTAATCTACAATAAAGGCCATGTTTTCTTCCATCTATGCATGTCTAGTAATTTTTGCTCGATTCCAGACATTGTGACAACTTCTACATGGTTGGATGCTATGTTTAAAAAAAAACCTTTAAATATTTTTGAGCATTGTTTTGGGGGCTCATTGAAGTTACTTAGAACATTTCTGGAAACAATGTGACCCTTTTCAGGTTTCATTAGGTGACCAGAGTCATATTCTGTCTATGGTTTATTTGGTTCCACTTCCAAGGCAACACACTTCTGTGTCCCTGTTCACTAACTCTCGAGAGGTTTTTCCACCCTGGCTATTAGGAACGTGAACTATTCCTAGACCCTTGTTATTTCTGGAAATTATTCTGCCTGCTCCTTTCTGGTGTTTTTCCCCTCTCCTTGGGTGACTTCCTCACATGCATACATAGATTTATAGTTAGTTGGGGACCCAAGAGTGACCCTCGGATGGTCTCCAGAGCACGTGCTCTCTCTTTTTCTTCTTCACCTCTGAGTGCTTGCAAATTTAGGCTACTCCAGTCTCCCTGGACTCCTAGTTCCATTTCCTTGACTCCTAGGCTTTTCCTAGCTTTCCCCCTGGAGCCGCAGTCTGTAGGCAGCCCTTCTCTTGTGGTCCAAGTCCTGTACTGCCTACTATCCAGTGTCTAAGAACCATTGTTCTATGTGTGTCGTGCAGATTTTAGTCATTTAAAGCAGGAGAGTAAATCAGGTCCCTGTTGCTCCACCATGTTTGCAAGTGGTAGGCCCGTTTTTCATATATGACCAACTCTAAGATGCCTTTCAACAGGCAGCAAGAAGAGATTGATGGACTGGGGTGTGGCTCAGCGGTAGAACGCTTGTCTAGCACATGCAACGCCTCCATCCTCAGCATCACATAAAAATAGAATAAAGGTGTTGTGTCCAACTACAACTAAAAAATAAATCTATAAAAAAAGATATTGAGCGTTTCTCTGTAGTGTGGATTTCTTTGTAGTAAGACATTCTTTTTACTCATGCACTGTTTGGGGGTTTTAATACTGTTATCAGTCGGCTATTGTTAGAATTAATGCTTGGTAACAAACCAACCCAAGTCTCAGTGGTTTATGCCAAGAAGCATTTATTCTTGTAAGACAGTAGGTCTTTGGGTCAACTGTGATTCAGCTGATCTGGACTGGGCTTCACTGACTGAGAAGCTCTGTTCCAGTCTGGAGACAGCTCAGATTTCTTCTCCGTATGTTCCAAGGTCCAGGTTGAAAGAGCCGCAGCTATCCAAGATCTGTTCATCTCAAGATATCACAAGAGTGAAAGAAATCACAGCCTAACCCTGCAAGCTGTTTCAGGCTTCTGCTTATGTCATCCTAAATACACTTTATATACACATGGCCAAAATTTAAAAGGCAGAGAAGTATACGCCAATCCACGAGGCCCCGACAAAGCTTTGGATGCCAATTCTATTCTAGCTGGTAAAGTATGAAGACTCATTATTCAGTGTACCAGTTTCTCTATCTGCTTTTTAAAAGTCCCTGTTGGCTAGAACTGAGGAAGCTCACCATCACCCCCACCCCCACGTCCTGTACAGGGAACATAGAGCCAAGGGAATTCTAGCTGGGATGGGGCTGGAGTCACCCATCCGGCTGCTTTCCAGAAACATTTTGAAACACTCTTCATTTGGGCCTGAGTGAACTCAGAGACTTCTTATGATTCCTGGTTCCCCTGAGCCCAGTGGACTGCCGGAGCAACCTACCTCAGCATTCGCCTGTTCCTCCCATCCCAGAGGCCAGCTGCATCCTTGGGTGCAGATGCACGCTGGACTACCATCACCTCCCCCAGGCTCAGCTTCCCGGGAGGAACAGGGACCAGGGACAGGCCTTTTGGAGTGGGGAGCTTCCTCACCAGTTCCCATGCATGCTTTGCATATGACTAGATCAGCAAGATCCAGTGGCCCCAGATTACCTGTGTGTTTTTCTCTCTTCTCCATTTCCTCCCTGCCCACAGAGACTGTTCCAGGAGGCTGGTTCACACCCTGCATGGGGCCGTGGGGCCAAACCACACATCTCTGTCAATAAAGCCTTTGGATCCAGAAGATAACGTCTCAGCGGGAGAGCTAAAGTCAACAGACTCTAGCCAGCTCAAGGCTGCCAGGAACACTGGTGCTGTTTCCAGAGAGTGTGCTGGTAGGTTCCACACCATCTTCAGGACTCCTGAGTGTGTGTGTGTGTGTGTGTGTGTGTGTGTGTGTGTGTGTGTGTGCATCAATATGTGTACGCCATGGGCTCTCGGAGAACCTTCTAGAATCAGGTTGTCAGGGCTCTGTATGGTCTTCCCCTGGTTCTACAGACTTTACTAAGGACTTTCGGTGTGTCCTAGAATCACGAGGACCAGGAGGTGTTCCCCACCACATTGGGGCTCACTCACTGAGCCAGAGGGAAGTACAGGGAGCCTGAGGGCAAGCTGCATTCTGGTTCTGTCACCTGTGAACAGAGGGACTATTTATTGAACACCGATTCTGTGCTGGGGACACAGTAAGGAGCAAGAGGAAGAGGTCCCTGTTGTCCTGGGGCTTTCAGTACTAGGGGTGGAAGGTCATTTAAAAATAGGCGAGAAAAGAAGGAGAATATGTCTGTTGGTGATAAAGAAAAGGAAACAGTAAGGGGACGGGGGTCTCTCTGGGTGGGCTGGTGAGGGACACTGGCTGTGGAGCAGCAAGACGCGTCTCCCTTTGCTTCCGCTTTCTAATGGTGTGAGCCAGGGCGTGACCTACAGCAGCCCTGTGGGCCTGGCTGGCTTTGAGATGGAACAAATCCCTCTCGTCCCTCATGACTCTTTTTACCCAGTTCTAAAAGAGAGAAAAAAACCCAAACAAACCAATTATCCGCATTCTCTCTCTGCTCTCCCTCCAGGGTCCCCAGGTCCTCTACGTACAGGACAGACTCTAGGAGTGAGGGACAGGCACTTTTATTCAGGTAGCTCCTTTCCAGCGCCACCCCCCTCCCACTCCCCCCTCCCCCCCCAGCTGGAGCTAGGTTGAAGCCCCCATGCAGGCTGTAGTTCTGTAGTTCTCCTGGGTCTCCTGAGGGCTGGCCCCGTCCACGGGTTTGTCATGAGGCCAGTGCCTGGAGTGCTGGGCCGGTTCACTGAGACGAGACCCTGGCAGCCGTGCTTTCCCTGTGTGAACAGGGAGTTTGGTCAAATCCTGCCAAGCCCCAAGTGGTTGGGTGGAGGCTGAGTCCTGTGGTGCCCGAGCTGCCCTCTCTCAGCTCTTGAGAGCTGTCCACTCAGAGAGAGGGTTTGGGCCGAGAGAGGCCATCAAGGTGCTCTGCCATCCGCTGCCTTGCCTGGGGCTCCCCAGTCCTGCCTGGACTGCCCGTAGCCACTCCTGGGCTTCTAACTTAGGGGCCAGGCCAGGGCAGAGGGCTGGTAAGTAGCTAAAATTAACTGATTATTATCCCCCACATCATACCACTGTGGGCTTCCCTTGCCACTATGTTAGGATCTCATAAATCTCAAAAGTTTGTCGTTATCTACGGAGACGTCACTGAGAGCGAGCTGAAGCCTCATCCTGCCAGCAGCTCCAGCAACCACAGGAAGGATGTCACCTGCAGCCCCGGCCCAGCGTCTCTGGCCACCCCCAGGACACCATCCCTAAAGAATCACAGCTCCCCTCTGCTGGGTTCAAGTTCACCAGCTGCTCCCAGGCCAGACTCTGTCTGCACTTCAGTCTTGAAGCAGCACGTGGCTGGACTCTCCTCAGAAAATCAGTTGCTTCCCAGACCTGGAAGGAGACGGGAGGCTCTTGGTTAGGCTGTGCCTGAGGCACTCACTCCCCCGGGGCTGTGTCCTGCCTCACAGAGCTCCATTTTCGTCACTGTGACCAAAATACCTGACAAGGACAACTTGGAGGAGGACAGGTTTATTCTTGGCTCCTGGCTGCAGAGGCTCAGCCTGTGCTGGGTCAACTCATTGCTCTGGGACAAAGGGGAGGCAGCCCTCAGGGGCCAGGGCCGGCAGAGGAAAGCTGTCAGCTCATGGCCACGAGGAAGCTGAGAGACGGGTGAAGGGCCCCGAGGCAGAGGCTCCTTTCCAGGGCAGCCCCCACGGCCCCACCTCCTCTAGCCATGCCCCACCTGCCCACAGTTACCACCCTCCGTTCAAATTAGGAGGGACTGACTAGGTGACAGCTGGAGGTGACATTCATCATCTAACCATTTTACCTCTGCATACCCTGCATTAACTCAGGTGTTTTTGAGGGACCCCTCATATGCAAACCGTTAACACACTCACACTAACTTTCCCAACTTCATGGTTCTCACTGATGCCCTTCTCAGTCCCCGAGAGAGTCTCCTTGCTTTTTGCTGTGGATAGTACGCTATTTCAAGATGGTGCCTCCTGGCCACGTGACCCTCGTCCGGCCACCTCCTGTAGCTGGTTACGGAGAAGGCTTACTGGATTGGGAACTATCGGCCTTGAGCTCCAGCCAGGACGGTCCCCAGTGTGTGTCATGACTTTGGGTAAGTCACCTCAGTTCTCTGGCCTCACGTTCCTCACTTCCTGACGGCCAGAGCAGAGGACTCCTGGACAAAGCCAGGTAGCTAGCTTGGCTCTTGGCTTCCCAAAGCATGGTCCACGGGCCACAGGCACTGGGATCCCTGAGGAGCTGGTTAAGGGATGGGTCTCGGGCTCCATCCTAGACTTACTGGATCAGAATCTGTACTTTAACAAAATCCTTAGATTTACTGTCACATAAAGTGTGAGTTATAGGCAGCTTATCTGCTTAAAGTTTGGCTAATACGATAAGAGCAAAGGGGAATTTCTGAGCTCCCTGGGTGAAGAAATGAATAGAATGCTTTTTACACAATTGCAGAGGTTAGGGAGGTTGGGGGGTGAGGCCTGTCGGGAAACAGGTGAGCAGGCAGATGCAGCTTCCAGGTGTGGCCACGGGGCCTGACAGTGAGCAGAGAGTGTGGGCTTGGACTGCTTGATACTGGAGAAGACAGATTCTCAGTGGCCCGTTGCTCATGGGAGGTGTGGAAGGAAGAGGATGAGAACACTCAAGGCCACAAGTCCCGGTCTTGCAGGTCCATGCTGTGTGCAAGGCCCAGGCTGGCCTCATTTTTAAGGCATCTGACCTGTCCTAATGGGATCCTAGAATGGGAAGGGAGAGTAGGCACACAGAGCCGAGGAAGGTGGTGGACCCCAGTCACTCTGGACTTGTGGCTCTTGGCTCTGCTGCACCATGGGGACTTCTGGGCAGCCTTGGGAATCCTGATGCCCAGACCACACACCTCCTCACTGTTTCAGGATCTCTAGGGGTGGGCCCCGGTGAGTTTGATGCCCAGCCAGGATAGAAACCCACTGCTTTTGTCTCCAGCCCAAGGACTGGTGGGGGCAGAACTAGGCACCACGGGGCACGTGGTGACTGACCAGGTCTGAGGCCTGACGTTTCCCCTGCGCACTGAGGAGCACGGGGCCAGGATTAGTTAACAAGGAGTCTGAGCCGGTCCCCACCCAGGACAGCCCCTGACCTCCATGGGCACTTGCAGCAGGGACTGGGGTGGGGAAGGAGTGCTATAGAACAGGGCTGGGAGCATGTGGCACCCCAGGACACAGCTCCTCATGTGCACAGACAGCAAGCCATTCCTTCCATTTGCTCCCTGAGATCAAGTGACGGAGCTCTCAGTTTGTATTGGGGTTTTGATTTACTGCCTGTTCCCAGAAGGGCACTGCCACAGAGATACCATTAAAAAAAAGTCACACTCTTGGCGTGGGACCGGTCCTCACAGGGAGGCCTCCTTCCCTGTGAACTCTCCAGAGCTTGGCGGTTCCTGGGAGACTGATGTGGGCATTATCTCTGGAGGGGCTCCCACCGGGCAAGGTAGAGTCTGTATGTGACAGATACTGAGGGGTGGGGACTGCCCAAGGCCACACAGGGTAGAGAGGCTTGAATTGAGGTTCCTTCCCTCAGTGTCCCCTGCTCTTTCACTCCCCCAAGACTCCTGGACACAGGCAAGAGCTGAAGTTCCCCCGGGGACTGGGAGACCCCTGGCAGGCCTCCTCCTGCCGCCTTGGGAGAAGAGGGGCTCGAGGTTATCTGGTCACAACATGGTTCCTTTCTGGATGAAAATATGTTTGAACTCAGGAATTAAGGGGGCTCTAGGAAGGGGTTAACCTCATTTCCTCAGACGTGAAAACCATCCTTGGCAGTGGGAAGCGGCAGATTTGACTCTGGATGACTAACGCCCCTTGCGGGGGACATATACCTGTCCTCACGTGCCCCTGGCAGGGATTTAAAGTGCTCTGCAGCGTTTCCCCGAATCCTAAATCAAGTCTATTCATCCCGGCACTGGTGAAGCCTGAGAGTGGAGGGGTTTATGTTAAATCGCCCTCTCTGGGCTCCTGCTCCCAGCCCACAGTCACAAATTCCCGGTAATGAGCGCGGCTGAAGAAGCCGTGACAGCGCTGCATGCTAAATTAAGAGTGGGGCCCAGGGCAGGGGAGTGTTTGCTTTGGCTGTGGTGCCGCCTGGGCTCCGTGTTGCCTGGCAGGGTGGCCTGATAAGTGGGCCGCGTGTGCAGCGCTGGGCAGTGGGCCCTGGGCCTTCGTCCTGACTGCGGGCAAGGGGCTCCTCATCACCCCCTCTGTGGCTTCCTTTGCAGCATCCCCTCATCTCCCCTTTGTCACTTAGAAACCAGAATTATTATATATTTTTTCCCTTTTAAGACTGAAAATTGGATCCTGGGACTTTTGTGTTTGGATGAATTACTTCCCGGCTACAGGGTGGGTGGAGGCACAGTCACCCCTGCACCCATCCTGGTCCCTTTTCTTGAGAACAGGAGGTCAACTCCCTGTAGCAGAGTGGGCACATCTTGGCGGCAGTAACTTTTGGAGACCCCATAGCCCAGTGCAGGGAGCAGCAGCCTGGGCTAGCCTGCCTCTGCCAGGCACTAGCTGGGTTGCTTGGGCAGGTTCTTTGACTTCGAAATGTCTTTGTCTCCTGTGGTCAAAGGGGGAAGGTATCTGGACTCTGGATGCCGTGTAGGAGCGCGGAGAGCATCAGATGAGATCAGGTAACTTGAAAGACCACAAATGGCAATTCGCCATCCAGGTTCTGATGAACATGCCCCCGGCTGCAGTATCTGCACGGTCAGGGTCAGCGCCCCAGGAAGACGCCATGCTGACAGAGACCTTGGGTTTGCACCTGTTCCTCTAAGAGAGCTGGATCACATCTCCCTGATGTGAACTTGACTGCTCACTTGCAGGTCTCTTGCGGGGAGGGATGGAGGTTGACCTCTGGAATCTGTGACCAGGGGGGGATCCAATGGCGGCCCCTTCCTCCTGATGACCCGGAGACCGCCTCTGCTCACTTTCTCAAGAAAGTTTCTCCAGCAGTCTCCCCTGTTCCCCACAGCACCCGCTCCTCTCCCCACGGCCACTCCTTGACATGTCTTCCTAGTCACCACTTACAGCGAGCAAGACCCACCCCTGGCCTCCTGCCTCCCTTCAGCTCCAGCCTTACCCTCTGTCCTCCGCTCAGCTGGCCTCCCTGGGGGGTGGCCTCTGCTCACTGCCTCAGCTTCCTCCCCTCCATTCTTTCCTCACCAGACCCAGGTCCCACAACTACTGTCCGTGACATTCCAAAGGGCCAGTGGTCAACACCTGCCCTTCCTCCCTCAACCTCTCAGCACAGTGGACACTATAAGCCTCTCTCCTTGGAAGCCCTTCTTCTCCAGACCTCCCGAGGCCACACACCTCTCGCCTGCTGTCCCTGCTCAGACTCTGGAGGTGCCTTCTCAGGGTCTCAGCTTCCTCCCCACCTTGCAGGGTTGGGGCTCCCCAGGGCCGTTCCCTAACAATGGGATCAGCTCTGTACACTCCTCGAGGAGACCCCAGCCCGCCTCCTGCTCGGCACACTCCAGGCATGATGGCTCCCTGTTTCTTCTTCTAGCCTTGGTTCTCTCTTGAGCGCCTCGTGCTCTGCGGCCTCCTCAACGTCTCCTCTGGGATGTCGGTGGCAGCCCACCAGAACTCTGCAAGGCTCCCACCCTTCCCTCTGACACCTCCTGGCCTCTCCCGTTCCAATGAATGGCTTCACCATCCTCTTAGCTGCGCAGATGGAAAGGGCAGGAGATGCCTGGCTTCCGTTTCCCCTTCCATCTTGTGTCCAGTCTCCTGGTGCCTCTCGCCCCTTGCCTGCACCTTTACAGTCTTGGCCTGTAGCCGGTCGACTCCTGGTCTGCATGGTGGCCAGGGCAAGCTTTCTAAGGCGTCTCTCAGATCCTGTCACTCCCATGGTCACAGCCCCCCAGGGTTGTGATAACATGGCATCACCTGGATAACATGGCCCTGCTCTGGCTCCCGCCCTCCAGCCCTCAGGCCTCCTTCCCTCCGAGCCTTTCCACCTTTTGCCCTTCTGCTTAGACTGCGGCTCCAGATTGTCACATGGCTGCTGTCCTCATTATTCAGCCACGAGTTTAGGGTTCTCCTCTCCTGAGAGGCCTTCCCACCCACAGTCTTCTGAGCTGCTGTCCGCGACACTGTCTCACATCACCTCCTCTGTCTGTTGACGCGCTCATGGCTTATCTCCTGCACCCCCACAATGTCAGTTCTCCAGGGCGGGACTCGACTTTTCCTGGTGTCGTCCCAGCACTAGCAGTGGAACCTGGCATACAGGAGGTGCCTAATAGATAGTGTTTGTTGACCGACTGGCTGCTCACTGTTGTTCAGAGCCCGACATATATCATCACAGTATTTTAGGCACCGATGGGCCTTCGAGATCACCAAATATGATTTCCTTCTCTTTTTTAGACAAGGAAGCTGGGGATGAGAGAAGGTCAAGATGTCACAGCAAGTTGGTGGCAGTGTTGTTTGAGTTTGCACAGGTCCATGTGTTGGAGGCCTGCTCTCAGCGTGGTGGTGCTGGGAGTGGGGCCTCGGGGGAGGCCCGTAGGTCCTGGGTCTGCCCTCAGCAGGGAGTAAGACTGTCCTGGGGGCCTTGAGCTAGTTCTTGAGAGCGCGTTGCTATAGACAAGCCTGACTCCTGAGTCACTCTGGCTCTGGGCCTTGTGTGTGAGCCCTCCCTGTCACTCTCGTCCACCATGAGGTCTTCACCACAGCTGAGCTGATGCGAGTGCCATGTCCTGGAACTGTCAGTAGAACGCATCTCTTTTCTTTATGAAGTTTCCCAGTCCCAGGTATTTTGTTTCAGTAACACACACACTGTCAAGGTGGGGCTCCTTTGGCACGGGAAGGCAATGCTGAGCCTGTCTAGGAGCCTTTGGATTATGGGGTAAGGCTGAGACTGTTGCAGGGCTGGAGCAGGAGGCCCTGGGCCTTGTCCCTGGGGCATGGAATGCAGGAAAAGTGGCCTGTCCACAGCAGATGGAGATGGTCAGCTGCTGAGAGGAAGGGGGCAGGCCAGTGACAAGGGCCAGGAAGGGCCTTCTCCTTGCCTTCCTGTCGTCTGTCACGCCACATGCTTCCTCCATGACTGATGCAGTGGCCTGGGGCCTGGGCCCTCAAGTGGTGTTTACATCCACACTTGTTGGCAAGAACCACGCTCCAGGAGGAGAGCGAGAGTTCCAGCCGGGATATCCACAAACCACCACGCATCACTCAGGCCCTTCCTGTTTGGAGAAGGCTGGGCAGGAGAGAGAGCCGCCTTCAGGGACAGGGAACAAACGGAGCGGAAGGCCTGGAGAGGGAGAGGCTCTGCCAAGTGGGCTCTGCTGCACTCCGGCCTGTTTGGGCCGTTCTCGCCCCTTCTCCAGGGGGAAGCAGAGGCCAGCACGTGGGAAGGGCCCAGCCCAGGACGCTTCCTGCTGCCTTCCCACCAGGCTGTCCACTCCAGCCTCCCCATGCCGCCCCCATGCTGGTGAGCAGAGCAGGGGCTCTGGGCCCCGGGGAGCACTTACATTTCTTCTGCAGAATGTTCTGCCTGGCCTTGAGGAATGCCAGGATGTCAGAGTCCGTCTGGCTGTCTCCGGTGAGAGGGACAGACGAAGTTGTCCTCTCAGGGATGCTGGGGACAGTGACATGTCGCACTTTACTACTCCTTACTGTGGAACTCAGCATTCAATTTTCCAAAATGCGTTCCCATTTGTGGGGAGTAACTCTCACCAGGTGCATGTGGCACCCTGCCTCCTTCTCCCTCCCTCCCACCTTCTGCACAGCCACTCCTGTCCTTTTATCAAGCACATTGGGTCATGCACTCCCTGGCTTCGACTCCTCTCATGACCTCTGGAGTAAAATTCAAATTCTATCCAGTGACCTTCCAGGTCCTGCGTGTGTTCGGATCCCCCCCACCACTGTGCCCCTACACTACCCTGGGGCCACCTTGACCCTCTTCCTTCTTTTTGCTACTGGATATGTGAAGCCACATCCAGCTTCAGGGCCTTTACCTTCATCATCTCCTCTTCTTCACCTCTGTCTCCATCCCTCACCTCCACACCTGTCCTCATCCTGGACTTTCCCAGACCCACCTCTTTTTACCCAGCTCTCTTTTTGCACCCACCTTAGATATGACATCTTTAAGGATGTCCCCCCAATACATATACATTCCCCACCATAGATGTGACATCTTTAAGGATGTCCCCCCAATACATATACACTCCCCCACCATGGTCTAGCGAGTTGCCCCCAAGACTGAGATCAGTAATCTCCTGTGTCTCCCCCCAAAACAGAACCATGTTTAGCTAAGTTGGTACAAAAAAAAAGCACGCCTCCCCACAATCCTTTGCAACTCTGTGTGGCCAGGGAGGTTCGTGAGCAGAAGCTCATGTGGGATTTTCAGGGAATCCCTTATAAAGAGAGCGAGGTCTGCACCCTTCCCCTCCTCTCTCTCCATTCAGCCTTCTAGATTGCTTTAAGAAAAGTCAGAGTGGCACACTCCCCTGGCTGTGCCAGTCTTCAGCCCGACACCCGTCACTCCACAGGGCACTGGGTGGCACCACTGCCTTGGAAGGCCGGGAGGGCTGTTAACAAGGCCCGTCCATGATCACGAGTGGTTCTGGGTGTGGGGATTCCAGCTGCCGCTCAGTGAGGGGCCCTGCCCCAGGAGCTGCTGGCCATCCTGGGCTCGGGAGGGGAGGGACCGTGGTGGGGTTCTGCCTTGGCTGAGCGCTGGGAGAGGAAGAGGCCTGCCAGGTGAGTGGGCACTGTAGTCACGGCCCCCAAGAGCACAGGCCAGGAGCCTTAGCATCTCTGTTCAGTCCCCAAGCAAAAGGCTTCTGGCTGGGGCCAGGCAGCCGGCTCTGCTTGGGCAGAGGGCCTGGTGGGTTTGGTTGGAACTGCCCTCAGCTGGCTCCTCTTTCCTGTGTGACTTCAGGTACATTCTTCACAAGGAACTGTGAAGCACCTCTGCTGGACAAGGACCCGGTGCCCTGGGAGAAAACTCCCCAGCTTCGGGAATCACAAAGCATGAGAGATTCCCTGGGATCCCCGGGGGACAGGACGGGGGCCAGCCCTGGGCTCCATCTGTGCGGCTTTGGGGGAAGAGAATGTGACTTTTACTGCAGAAGCCGTCGCAGGCCTCGAGAGGGAGGGAGGCCACCGACCTGCCTTCCAGCCAGGTGCCAGTGCTGCTCTGCTCGGGGCTGCGCGGGCTGGGGCAGGGCGAGGGCGAGACTTTTCTGGCACTCAGGGCACTGCAAAAAACGACAAAAGCCAAAGTTAGAGGGGATAAGAAGAGAATGCAGGGGCTGGGGATGTGGCTTAAGCGGTAACGTGATCGCCTGGCATGCGCTGGGCGCTGGGTTCGATCCTCAGCACCACATACAAACAGAGATGTTGTGTCCACTGAAAACTAGAAAATAAATATTAAAAAAATTCTCTCTCTCTCTTAAAAAAAAAAAAAGAAGAAGAGCAATGCAGGGTTTATGTTGTTTCTATCCAGTGGCTTTTGTGAACTGGGGGTCCTCCCCACATTCCTATGTTGAGGTCCCACTCCCCAGTGTAACGGTGTTTAAAGGTGGGGCCTTGGGGGGTAATTAGGTTTGGGTGAGGTTTGAAGGTGGCCCTCAAGATGGGGTTAGTGTCCTTATGAGGAGGGAGGGGGAGGCCAGAGCACTCGGCCTGAGTCTCTCCCTGGACACTACGGGGAGGAGGTCTGTGCCAGCCAGAAGGGGGCCCTCAGCAGGAGCAGATCTGCTGTGCCATAGAGTTCCTATGTGGAACCCGCCCAGGTGGACGGGATCAGGAGGCCGGGCCTTTGAGATCAGAGAAAGCCCTCATGAATGGGGTCAGTGACTTTATAAAGGAAATATCAGAAGCACTGGCCCCTTTTCCTATGTGAAGTCCTTCACCAGACACCAACATTGCCAGTGCCTTGGTCTTGGGCTTCCCCGCCTCCAGAACTGTGAAAAACAAATGCTCGTTGGAAAACAGATGAACTGGGCACAGGGGTGCACAGCAATGGTCTCCACCACTTGGGAGGCTGAGGCGAGAGGCTGGCAAGTTGGAGGCCAACCTTGGAGGTTCAGTGAGACTTTGTCTCAAAAATAAAAAAATAAAATAAAAAGAACAGGGAGTGTAGCTCAGTCGTAGAGCATCCCTGGGTTCAATCCCCAGGACCCCCCTCCACATGCACACACAAACACACATAAACCAAAACCCAAAACCCCAAACCCCAAAAGAAGAACCAAACAACCACAATAACAACAACAAAACCCAAATGAGCCAACCCAGTCTCTGGGATTTTGTTATAGAGCCCGAACAGACGTGACTAAGTGACAAGAATCCTGTCTTGGGTGGTTTGAACACTGATTTCATTGTTGTGGCAGACCATGTGTTGGCCACAGAAGGTGAACGGCAGGCAGTGGAGACTGTCACTGTTTACATGCCAGGCCTTGAGAGGGTGCTCGGGAATTGCCGTGCCATTCAGTCCTCTCAGTGGTCAGAGGAGGACGTCATTATCCTAATTCACAGATGAGAAAACTGAGGTGTAGGGCGAAGCTAGGGAAATTCCAGTAGGTGGTAGCATCTGGGCCTCGTCATGACTTCGAGGCCCAGGCCTGAGCTCCCGACTGCTAGCTCTACACTGGCTTTCCCCTGGCCACAGGGACCACCCCAGGTGGCCTCAGCTGCTGACTCTGTGCTCATCAGGTGCACTGGGCCCCTTTATCATGGTGGCCTGATGTGTTGGCTTGCCTTGGATTCCTGGCTGCAGACAGAGGAAACCAGGGGCCCCTCCCGGGTGCAGACGAGGTGGGGGCCAGTTATTCTAGTTACTCTGCCCTGCTCTCAGCTGTGCTGTAAGCCCCCAGAGATGTAATCCTCTTCCTTGCTCTGGGATGGTCCTGTGTAGAGACCATAGCAGAGCTCAAAGAGACCTAAGAAGTCACATGGGACATACTTGGGGAGGCTCAGGCTGAGTGTCAGGCCAAGGACAGATGGGTGAGCTGGCCTTGCCAAGCCTACATGGTCAGTCCAAGGCACTCGGCAGGCCTGATGACCCAGGTGTCCCACAGGTGAGGGGAGACACTGCTCAGCTCCTCTTCCACCTTCTCCTCCAACCTCAGCCAGTAGCAGGGCTCTGACTCTGGACTCAGGACAGTGGGTCAAATAAACAGGAAGAAAATCAGAGCCTGGTCCCCGCTCCTCCCACTAGGGCTCATTTCCTAGCAGTCTGGAGTCTCCCTGGGGCACCTTGGAGAAGCTGGGTCTGTGCTGTGTCGGGCGAGGGCTACTGCAGGACTGGAGGCAGCCACAAGGTGGCAGGCTGTGCGCGTTTGCCTTTGGAGAACAGTGGCCAGTTCCCAGGGCTTCCGAGCGGTTTCTGGTGCCAGCCTGGTGGAGGGAAGGAGAAAGGGCTTTTCATCTTGCAGATGTTTCAATTACAGCAGGCCAAGGTTAGTGCGGAAAGTGTAGCAAGTCTGCAAGACCAAGTCATTGGTACACAAATGGCTCATTGGCTCCATGGCTTCCAGTGGAGTCTTTGTAGATTGCAGGGGGAGTTTATAGATGTCAAATTGTGGAGGTTTGGGAGTGGGTAGAAGAGGAGGAGAAATGGATAAGGGCAGGGCAGAAGGGTGCGATGGCACCAAGGCAGATGAGGACATGCAGCACCCCCTGCAGAGGCTAGCCATGTCCTGCAGGAGGACACACGGCACCATGTGCAGGCCTGGGGCTCCTGAGGGAGTGACTCCCCATCTCCTAGACTGCTGGAGTATCCCTGGGGGCCAGGGCTCAGTTTCTTGACCCTCAGGAGTGTGCCACAGACGACCTCTGCCCTCTTTGTCCAGCCAGCCTTTGACACTGAATTCATTTCTCATGCTCTCTCTCCTGGAAAGGGAGCATATCAGCTATGAGAATGAATTATCTCCTTAATAAAAATTAATAAACAACTCTTTCTCTTCAACAAGGCTCCGGAGCGCATGCAGAGATGCAGACCTTTGTGAAGACCCTGACAGGCAAGACCATCACCCTCGACGTTGAGCCCCGTGATGCCATCAAGAATGTCAAAGCGAAAATTCGAGACAAGGAGGGCATCGCACCTGACCAGGTGGAGGACAGCTGCACTCTCAGGTTACAACCTCCAGAAAGTCCACCTGCACTTGTGGCTTCACTTGCGGGGTGGCATCACTGAGCCTTCCCTGCGCACTTGCCCAGAAGTACAGCTGTGACAAGATGATCTGTCACAAGCGTGAAGCCTGCCTGCACCCCTGTGCTGTCAGCTGCTGCAAGTAAAAGTTGGCCACACCAACAACCTCCGCCCCAAGAAGGTCAAATAAAGCCCCTCCACTGGCTCCTTTCCCCAAAGGGTGGCCTCCTGTCCAAGCCCTATGCATGGCCTTGGGTTCTCAATAAAGTTTCCCTTACGTTGATTGGAGCAGTAAAAAAAAAAAAATTAATAAGCAATGTTGATGATACTTAGGCTTCTTGGGTTGCCAGGGCATTTAGTATGGTCAGCCCTCAGGACCTGGACGCTGGGCTTTTGGAGGCTGGCGAGAGGACCAGCTCACCGGCCTGCAGAGCGTGTAGAGAACAGCCACCATGGAGTTCAGGTGAACACAGTCGCTGGGCTCTTGCTCTCTTTGCAGAAGCTTTTTAATGGTGCTGAATGTTCATCTGCTCGTGGAAGGATAATGTAGAGCGACCCTGGTGCATTTTACAGATGAGGCCAGGGAATTGCAGAGTGGGGAGCTGCCTTGCCCAAGGCTGGGCTGCTGTGGCAGAGTTCCTTTGTCAAAGTCTTAGTGATCAAACTCCTCGGAGGTGACACCTTGGAAGCCTGAGGCCCTCAACGGCAAGGTCCAGAGTCTCTTGGTGAGCATGCCCAGGAGCGGTCTTGGAATACCTAGGGGACACCCAGGAACGGCTAGCAGAGCAGGCCCCACGCAGGCCAGGAGGAAGCTGGCGAGGGGCAGAAGCCAGGAGGCCAAGCCCTGGGGCTGGTGCTTAGACCCTCCCCACCATGGCCTGCAAAGGTGGCCGTAGAATGGACAAATGGACAAGCTGTACAGAGTGGCCAACAGGGAGCAGGCCAAAGGGCAAGACTCTCAGGAAGAAGGAAGGAGAAGGGAAGGAAAGGTGGGGGTGAAGGGAGGGCTGCAAGAGAAGGAAGGGGACAAGGAGCGAAGCAGAAGGGGCATAGGCAGGGAGAGTGGAGGGCCGGAAGGACGGAGGGGTCTGGCCACTAGATGTGGAGTTTGAAGCTCTGTCTCCACGACGGAGTTAATAATAATCCCATTATTTCCTGGGGCCTTGGTTTCTTCATTGGTAAAACGAGGGAGTTGAATTCAGAGTTTCTCACTGAAATGGCGAGCAGCCAGTGACAGGGGCGTGGCTTCCCAGTTCTTCACAGGCCACCTTCTAGGGACATACAGGATGGCTCTTTGAAAGTCCTGGCCCCTGGGAAATGAGCTGGTGGGGACACCTTGATGGAGTGAGGCCCCCAGCCGGGGCCTGGCACGGCAGGATATTAGTTTGAGTGAAATATTACAAGATGTGGACGAGAAAGTGACAAGTCTACTAGGCACGCTGTACGCCTGCCCCTCACGGGCAGTCGTTAATGCTAAACAAAACTGGTGTCAGAAGTGAGGACGGTGACGAGACTCGGACAGGCCTGGCTTTAGTCCTGGCCTCTCTGCTAATTGGCTGGGTGGCCCTGAGCAAGTTACTTAACCTCCCTGAGCCTGATTTTCTCAACTGCTAAATGGGGAACAATCCTGACACTGCACAGTCATTCCGTGCCTGGCCATGAGGGCCTCAGCAAGTGACAGTGGGTGTCACTACGGTAAGAGGAGGGCCATGCCAGCTGCTGGGGGTCCTCCCTGGCTGGCTGTTCAGAGTGAGCCGCCCCAGGACAGGGTGGAGCTTGGTGGGCTCTTTATTGCCACCATTCTGAGCCAGTGGCGGTGGCTTCTTACTCAGAGGCTGAGCCAAGTCTTCTCCCCCCTCCAGCCTCCAGCAGGGACACTGTCCTCTCTCCTCTCTATGCAACCTTCCCACTCACCTGTCCTCAAACTGTCCTGTACTCCAACTACAGTGGTGGATGGGGACTGGGGGAGCCGACCCTCACCATGTCTGAAACGCTGGTTAGGACACTTCTCTGCTGAGGGTCACAGTTCTCAAGCAGAGCACCAGCAGCCAGTGCAGGTGACAAGGCCCCAGGCCCCACCTGAGAGCCGTCCTCTGGGCACCTCCCCGGCCGTCAGAGCATGGGAGCCAGGAGTGGGATTCTGGGAGACTCACAGGAGAGCTCCTGCGGGTGGTCCCAGGTGAACCGTGGAAAGCCAGGGTGCAGGGATTTCCTACCTTATAACCCCGGGCCGCATGGGTGCTCGGTGGAACCGTCCCGACACCTCAGCCCACCCTCATTTCACTGTCTGTGAAGCCACAGAAAAAAGAGCCGGGGCTTCCTATGGGCTGACCAGGGTATTCCTGGCCCCAGGAGAGGGGCTCTAGCCTCCGGGCCGTGGGGGAGCTTGTCCTCACAGGCCACAACAATACCCTGGGGCTCTGTCCTCTGGGCTGGGCTTTCAGATGTGTTTTGTGGAGGCCTGGGGTTTCAGGGAGGAGTTCTGGATGGGGACAGAGGTTGGCAGATACACAGGGTGCAAGGGAGCACCCAGAGGGGCCAGGTACAGGGCACAAGGCTGGGCTGCCTCTCCTGCCCGGGCAATGCAGGTGCCTAGTGACGCTGCCTTTTCCATTTTTTAAACTAATAGACTATTTTTTTTTTATACCAGGATTGAACCCAGGGAAGCTTAATCACTGAGCCACACCCCCAGCTCCTTTTTGTATTTTATTTAGAGACAGGGTGTTGCTGAGTTGTTTGGGGCTTTGCTAAGTTGCTGAGGCTGGCTTTGAACTAGAGATCCTCCTGCCTCAGCCTCTGGGGCCACTGGGGTTAAAGGTGTGTGTCAGGGCACCTGGCAATAGACTATTTTTAAGAGAAGTTTTAAGTTTATAGAAAATTGAGCGACACTACAGCATTCCCAAACACTGCTTTTTATCCGCCCGCCTCCACGAGTTTTCCACCACTCTAACCTCTGGCATTGGTGCGGTCCTTTGTCACAGGTGGCGAACCAGGGCTGACGAATTAGCATTGACCAGAGTCCACAGGTGACACAGGGGTTTGCTTTTCATGCTGTATAGGTCTATGGATTTTGAAAAGTACCATCGATCCACCAATATCCTGTCTTCCCGAATAGTTGCGCGTCCCTAAACATCCGGCCTCTGTCTGTCCATTCTTCTCTCCCCCCAGGGCTGGGGCAGCCACTGATGTCTCAGCAAGTCGGTAGTGTCCCTTTCCCAGGTGTCATCTGGTCAGGCTCCTCTAGCGGGAGCCTTTCCAGGAGGCCTTCTTCCACTAAGCAGTTTGCAGGAAAGCTTTCTCCATGTCTTTTCACGGCTTGGTAACTCTTTTTATTGCTGAATAATACTCTTTGTCTGGATGCAGCTCAGTTCATCATTCTTCTTTTGGAAGACTTGGTGGCATTCACTTTTTTTTGACAATTATGAATAAAGCACCTATCAATAAGCATGCCCAGGTTTCCCCCACGTTTCTTATTGGCGTATTATAGTTGTAAATAATGCTGGGATTTGTTGTTAATATTTGTACATGTGCAAAATATTTCAATATAATTTAGCCAATATCATTCCCGATCTCCTCCTACCCCTCCTCTCCACCCTCCTCCCTGGGGCCTTTCCTCTGGTCTACTTATCTCCCTTCTGATTTTCATGAAATCCCCCCACTTTTCTTTTCCTTTGTCCTCTCTAGTGTCCACATATGAGAGAAAACACATGGCCTTCGACCTTCTGGGATCGATTTATTTCACTGAACATAATGGTCTCAAATTCCATCCATTTTCCTGCAAATGACATATTTTCATTTTTTATGGCTGAATAATCATGATTTTTATCTGGATGTAAGTTTTTTTTTTTTTAAGATTTTATTTATTTATTTATTTATTAATTTTTTTTTTTTTTTTAGTTTTTGGTGGACACAACATCTTTTTTTTTTTTTTTTTTGTATGTGGTGCTGAGGATCGAACCCCGGGCCGCACGCATGCCAGACGAGCGCGCTACCGCTTGAGCCACATCCCCAGCCCCTGGATGTAAGTTTTTAACTCATCTGGGTGAATACCTGGGAGTGCCATTGCTGGGTTGTATGGTAACCCTATATTTAGCTTTGCAAGACTCTGTGAAACTGTCTTCCAGAGTGACAGTGTCATTTTGCGTTCCCATGGGCAGTGAACGGGAGGTGCTGTTGCTCCACGTCCTCACGAGCTTCGCTGTGGCCAGTGTTTTGGATTTTGGTCTTTCTCCTCTGTATTAGTGGCACCTCACTGCTTTCGTGTGAACTGCCTCTTGACACCTCGTCATACACCTATTTGCCATCTGTAGATCATTTTTTGGCAAAGAGGCTGTTAAGATCTTCTGCTCATGTTTTTTCAGGTTGTTTGTTTTCTTATTGTTAAATTTCAAGAGTCCTTTATATATTTTGGATAGAAATCCTTTACGTGTTTTGCAAATATTTTCTTCTCATCCGTGGCTTGTCTTTTGATCCTCTAAACAGTGCCTTTGGCAGAGCAGCATTTTAAAGTTTAATAAAGTCCAAGCAAGGGCTGGGGTTGTGGCTCAGCGATAGAGCGCTCGCCTAGCTGGTGCGAGGCCCTGGGTTTGATCCTCAGCACCACATAAAAATAAATAAATAAAATAAAGGTATTATGTCCAACTCCAACTGAAAAGTAAATATTAAAAAAAATAAAGTTCAAGTGGCTTCTTTTTTTTTCATGGATTTACACTGCCATTTAAAACACTCGATTACCCAAACAAAATGCACTGTGCCACTGCAGACTCTGGGCTTCGGGTGAACACGGGAGATGTGTCCTGAAACTAGGACACAAGTAGAAGCCCGGCACCGAGGGCCAGGATGGGCACGTGGGGAGTCTGGGAAGGTTGGCCTGGAGTGGGGGCCTCGCTGGCAGACTGTGTTCTAGAAATGCTTTTTTTTTTTTTTTTTCCGCTTTTAAGACTAATTTTAGATTTCCAGGAGAGATGCAAGGAGAGTGCAGACCATTTCACAGGCCCAGTACCTGGTTTCACCTGTATACATTTTTATACCACTGTGGTATGTTGATACATTATTATTAACTAAAGTACATACTTTTTCTGAATTTTCTTAGTTTAAAAATATTTGGCCATATCTTTTTGATATACATATTTAAAGAAATTTCAACTGATACATAAAACATTAAAAGTCGTACATATTAACGGGGTACCAGGTAATGTCTGATACCATGTATGCTTTAAGTAATGTTTGAATCAGGTTATTTATCTCCTCACACATTTCTCATTTCTTTATGATGAACGCTTCCTAGTTTTTACCTACTGTCTTTATTTATTTGTTTATTTTTGGCACAGGGGATTGAATCCAGGGGTGCTTAACCACCAAGCCACATTCCCAGCCCTTTTTATTTTGATTTTGAGACCTACTATCCTGTTCTATTCTGGGAATCCACCTGGGAGATCCACACCACTTAGTCCTCACATCTCCACAGGCTGCTCCTGGCTCTGACAGATTCTCAGACTCCTTGTTCTTGACGAGCCAATTTGTGAAGCCCTGGGTGGTGTTTTGTGGAATGTTCCTCAATTGGAAATTGTCTGATGTTTTCCTCATGCTTCAACTGGGACAATGAATTTTTGAGAGGAATAGCAAAGAGGGAAAGTGCCTGTCTCATCACACTGAAGAGAAGACACTGTCTACTACCATTTTAGACAAATTCTATTTCGCATTTCCCATGTGAGCACTCAGTGCTCCTTCAAACCCCGATGCTCCACTGTTCCTTAGTGGTGGTGATGCTGACTGGGCCTCTGCCTGACAGACTGGGTCTGAGGGACGCAGGGTGGCAGGAGGCAGGGGTCATATGGTTGGAAAGAGACCAGAACACGGTGTGTGGAAGGAGTCCCTGCTGGGGCCTCCCATCATTGAGGGGAACAGGCTCTGGGCAGTCCTCATATAGCACTGAGAATCCTCTTTAGGACGAAGTCTTCACCCCCACTCCCTGTATCCTGGCAGGCCCTGTATCCCCTGTATTCCCACCAGCACCCCTGTCTGTCCCTCCCGCCCTCTCCCAGATCCCCTCCCTGTCTTTCCCACCCTTCTTCTCACTCGGGGTGGGAGCAGGGCTGGCACTGTTGAACCCCTTGCCTCTTGCAACATGGCGGTAGGTCCACTGGCAGCCAAGGTAGGGGCTGAGGGGCGCACACTCCAGCCAGCTTGCGAGACCCTGGCCTGAGTATGTCATTAAACAGTAAAAGCATTCATCCCCCAAGACCATGGAGCCTAAAGGAGACATTTAGACATTTAGAGCAGCAGGAGCAGGTCAAGGGGAAAGGTAGGAAGCCTCCCCTGGGTACTCACCTCTGGCTGGAGAGAAGCTGGGACTGGTCCTGCTGGGATTCAGAGCTCTGGGGAGAGGGCTTCGCGTGATCCAGTGAATTCACTGCTGGAGAATTTACCTGTTGGTCCAAGAAGGGGTTTCACAGCATTAGCCTGAATCTAATGGCACAGGAAGATGTTCTTGATGTCATTCTTTTTTTTTTTTTTTTTTTAAGAGAGAGAGAATTTTTAAATATTTATTTTTCAGTTTTCGGTGGACACAACATCTTTATTTTATTTTATGTGGTTCTGAAGATGGAACCCAGCGCCCCACGCCTACCAGGCTAGGGCATTACTGCTTGAGCCACATCCCCAGCCCCTTGATGTCATTCTTAAGGAGAAAATCCAGCTATTAATGTTATACAAGGTGGGCAAAAAATAAATTTAGACATAGTTATGACCATAATGTGGGGCATCAAAATATTATCTTCAGATGGTAGTTTTATGGGTAATTTCTTTTTTCTTTCCTTTTTTTAAGTGTGTTATAATTATACATAATAATGGGATTCTTTGTTAAATATTTGTACAGGCACACAATATAACATCATATATTATGTTGTTGTCATATATAATTACATTGATATAACTATATAACATTATTTATATTCTATATAAATTATATAATGATACAATTTGGTCAGTTTCTTTACCTAGGGCCTCTCCTTATGGGCCATTTTAAATTTTTTCTGTAAAGTTTTCTTTGCTTTCCAAGTTTTCCAAATTTAACATCCATTATTTTTGTAGTTAGAAGGATAATGTGTAAAATGTGATCTGACGATTCTCTAGAAATCCTTCCTGGGTTTGCTTCTCCTTGTCTTCAAGATCCTCTTTGAGCACTTCATGTAGGGAACAGCTTTGGAGTTCATGGGTCTCCACTGGCCTGGTGAGCAAGGCTCACAGCCCAGCTGAGCCAAGGCCCAACGCCCCAGGATCCACCCAGAACCCCGGGGCATGGAAAGCTTTTGAGAAGGCGCTGCAAGGCCACCGCAAGGAGGTTCCTGCTGACCTTCCGTCTTCCTGGGAGTTGCCACAGAACAGAGTCTTGTCACCTCCCTTGTTCTGATAAGGTCTGGGCCTTGTGCCTCCGCCCACTCAGGCTAGTGACAGTATAGGCTGTAAGACTGCTCAGCTGCAGCAGAGAATGGGCTTTCCTGCAACAGGGTGTCCCACCGCCCCGCTGCCATCACCTGGCATTGTCTCATGTTGTAGACTATGGGGACAGGGGACAAGTGGAGCTGAAGTTCTTGGCTACTCTGCTCTCATTGTCCATGTAAGCAGTAACCTATCTGAATCCAGCCCTGCCTGGACACTTCCTGAGTCACACTGGATGACCTCACCCACTGTTCAGGGGCTCAGCTCTCTTGGGTCTCAGCTGGGGCCGAAGAACGCACTCAGGCTGAACTCGCTAGGAAGGCTCTGACCTGGAGTCACAGACAGAACCCAGGGCGCTGTGGATGGTCGGGCATCAGTTATGCCTTTATTTTCTCTAACTTCTACTGGAAATTAACAAATATAGATTAATAAGCCACAGTAGTGTTAGCAGGGCCTGTGACATTGCCACCAAGAAATCACACATATTCTCCTATCATCATAGTTGGCTCAGAAATATAGTGTTCATGATGACTTTGAAGTTATGGCAAATACTGATAACATTTTATCGATAATAAGACACCTAGATCTTATCAATACATTTAAACGTGCTGTACATATTGTTATACTTTGCTCTTAGACTATTCTGATACCTATATTTCAATCTAATTTTCTTTGTTCTCCTGTGAATTTAATTCTGTGCACATATTCTTCTGTATTGTCCTGTCACATGGCCACTAGGTAGCAGGCTGGTTATTGCTCGGCTCTGTGTCCTTGGGCAAATATCTTCCCTGGCTCTTCAGCTCCTTGTTCTTAAAATGAAGGGAACAGCCTGGGAGGCAATTGTGAAGGGTTCCCCAGCCACACGAGTGGTGTGACAATGTGCACTTTGTCACTTCCGTGGTACCACAGCTGAGGAGTTACCAGAGGACAGCTGAAACCAGGATTTACACTGACACTTCTAGTGAGTTATTTCAGCCTTTTTGATATGACAGAGCCCTCAAGGAACGGAAATAGGAAATATGCAAAAATTAATCTGCAGATATATTTTGAGGGAAAGACTAGGAACAACCTTAACAGTCAAGAACAGATGGGTTAAATAAATCAAAATATATTAAAATGTATTCATAAGATGGAACAGTAAGACCCAGGAATTATATTGTAGAATAACAGAAAAAAGGTATTTAAACAGTTAAGTCAAGAAAAAAGATATTTGAGGACCAATATGATTATATATTTTAAAAAATATATTGATATATGTATATATGCAGAGAAAAAAGACAAAAGATAAAATAATATAAAACTAACATGTTAATTGGTTATATTAATTAGTTATATTAACATTAATTGGTTATCCTTAAGGGGAGGCATTAAAGTAATCTTTACTTTTCTTTGCATTTTCTGTATTTTCTAACATTTCTATAATTAACATGCATATATATGACTGTAATCTGAAGAACAATAAATGTAAATGTGATATCCCTGGAGTCTCTTACACAAAGCAATGGTGGCAGACCCCCTGGTTTTGGGAAGCTGCATCTCCCATCCTTGCTATCCCATGGGTCATGTGAGGCACAGGAACAAGGAAACCATGAACCCTTGACCTTCTGTGTTCCTGGGAGTCAAGTGAACGTGTGAGACAGGGCTTAGTTCGTGAGCCTGGGGGGTAAAAGCCCCTCCTTTTCCTGTCTCCTGACAGTCCCCTCCCCAGCTGCCCTGATGCGCCCTAGACCTTACCTGCAGGTGAGTGGCCTCTTCTGCCCACCAGGCTTCAAACTCTTTCTGCAGCTTCACCTTGGCTTTGTCCATGAGCAGCTGCAAGTGCTCGATCTCCACCTTCAGGGCCTTCAGGCGGGTGAACATAATTTTGTACCTGCAGTGGGATCAGGAAGAGGTGGTGTCACATTCTTTTGAAGGTCACTGAATCTCAAAAGCCTGGCAGTGCTGCCCGGTGCCTGGGGCCTGAGACCTGGGACCAGACTGAAGCCTACCAAGGCCAGGGTAGGGCACCAGGGTCTAGTCCATCATATAGAAGCAGACGGAGGCATTTCTGCCCAGCAGGGTTGGGAATCCATAATTGAGATGAAGAAAATCCTTTTCAAGAGTGACAACCAATTTTTTTTCCCCCCAGTGCTGGGAATTGAACCCAGGGCCCCCAGGATGTCAGGCAAGCACTCTACCAGGGAGCTATCCCCAACCTGTGATCTACTTCTTTTTTTGAGCACTTAACTAACAGGGCAGGCATCGCTGTAGGCAGCAAACATATACAAGCTCATTTAAATCCCTGGCACAGATTCAGAACCAGAGGCATGGAGAGGTCAGATAATGTGCTCAGGCAATGTGTTCTAAACACAGAACAAACAGGAAGCCAGGATTTGAACCCAGACAATCTGGCCTAGAACCACAGTCTGCCATTCTGCTGGTTCATTTTTGTGGTAAGGAACCAGAGTTAAATGTCTGTTGGGGGATATTGGGAATGCTACACCAAATCAGAAATAGTTCACTGGAAACAGTCCAATAGCCGAGCTAATGAGACAATGTGCCTTCGGAGGTGACGCTGAGATTGGAAATGTAGACCGAGGGGATAAGACTGGTGGAATAATGGGATGACATGAGAATAATGGGATTTAGAAAGAAACAGGAAAATAAACAGCAAGGCAGAAGGTGGACAACCGGGGCCTAGACCAAGGGGCTGGAGAGCAATGGCCGTGAGTGTGGAAGGACATTCTGGAAGAAGACAGAGTGCCCAGCTGTCAGGAGTGGCCTGGAGACCAGCACCAGGGGCTTTGTTCTCCTGGGGTGCGTGAGTGCGGCCACAGGTGACAGAGTTTATCAGGGTGATGTCACATCAGCCCAGTGCGGGGTGCTGGGTGGGGACGATGATGCAATGACTCCATCATCCACTTGAGGCAGGGAAGGGGGCTTGCTCAGTCTCTCCAGACCCTCTCCAGGACAAGGAGGAGCTAGCCGACATGTTGAATGCATATAGAAATGAATGAACTAAGCTGCTTGGTTGGGGTGATGAGGGAGATTCTGTGATGGCCACACGTATGTTTATGCATGGAGATCCGTACAGTATAAATAAAATAATTCTGGGCCCCTAAGAGACTGTGTGAAAGTGTGAAGGTGTGACTTGGGAGGGAAGCTGCAGAGGAGACCACCATGGTCATATCTCTTGCTGCCTCTAGGTGGCAGCAGTAGACAACACTAGCGGCTTCTGGGGCCAGGGGTGGCTGGTCAGCATCTAACCTCATCGCCCAAATGCAGCACGGTTGTGGCTTCCTGCCCGTTTTGCATTTGGCTGTGGTTCCAGCCCTGGGTGCCTCCAGGTTGTCCTTAAGGCCTAAGGAGGCAGGGGTCAGGCTGTGTATGGAAAAAAAAAAAAAAGGGCACCTTCTCTTCTCTTCCTCCAGTTGTGATCGCAGTCTGTCTTCCTGGCCTGGTGTCGAGGGAAAGGCCATGTTTTCTGAGACTTCTGTAGAAGGAAGATGTTGGTGGGTTACTCCAAGAGGAAGAAAGGCAGAAGGAAAAGCATGAGATAGAGCCCACGTGCATCTCCAGATGAAAGGGGACCCGTGCGTTCCTCTGTGGCCTCTGGATGGCAATCTCTGATCGCTTCTAGGATTGTCTTCCCTGCTGGTCCCCCCCACCCCCTGCCCAACACTTGTCACTGGAAGGGAATTCTCTCCACCTCTACTAATCCTCTTACTATTGAGCTCAATTATTTCCTCCTGAGTCCTCAGGGAAGATGCAAAACAGAATTTCCTCATCCTCTGAGAAAGAGCCCTCCACACCCCAAGAGTCCTCTCTAAATGGTCACATCTTTCTTTGCAACAATTCTTTGCACCAATTTTCCAGCTTCAGAAGCACGACTTCTGCTTTCCCTTTCCTCTAACGCTTGGTTCTCAAGCCGGATCAGCACAGGTGATGTTCATGTGGAACCAGGGCTGAGGAGGAGCCTTGGCAATGCACCTATGGCATTCAGCAGTGACCAGCAGGGGCTGCATTCCCTGTCCCCCATGCTGACCACCTCCTGCTCCCACGTGGTTGCCATGGCGGGCCTGGCTGCCTGTTCTGCCTGGTTGCCTGTCGACACCTGGTCCTGTCCTTGTCCAGTGTGTGGGGGCTGTTCATTCTCCTGGAAGTTTCTTTATGGTTGTGCTGTGCCTTTTAGTCCCAGAGAGGACACCTTAGAAGCCACAGCACCCTGTGGCTTTTATTCCATGGGGGGCAGAATGAGTCCACACAGAATGGTCCCAGTGTTTTCTGGGCATGACCAGACTTAATTCTTATAGGACTTATTTAAGACACGTATTATTTCCATTTCACTGAGAAGGACATTGGGGTTCAAAGAGGTTAAACTGCCCACGTCATGTGACCAACTTCAGGAAACTGGATCCAGGTTTGTTTTCTGGCAAGGACCTTGGATTAAAAAATTCCTTCTATGACATTTCTCACAGATGGTCATGTGATTTCTGCTCAAATACTTGCAGAGATGGGGAGCTCAGGACCTTGCAGGAGAGCATCCTCCACTGCAGACTGCGCCGTTTCTCTCACTTCAAGCTGAGACCTTCCCTACTGACTTCTTTTCACCTCTACTCTGGTTCTTTGTATCAGCACAGAATGTCCTTCTTCTTAATTTCAACAAGAACAAAATACCACCTGTGTCTGGAGCTTTATCTCAGGCTGGCTCTGCCCGATTCATCATCAGCTGGTTACTTTCTTACTTATCTTACATACGAAGCCTAGACCTGGCTTCACAGAAGAAATAAAAATGGCCAACAAATACATGAAAAAATGCCCAACATCCCTAGCAATTAGAGAAATGCAAATTAAAACTACACTGAGATTTCATCTCACTCTAGTCAGAATGGCAATTATCAGGAATATAAGTAACAATAAAGTAGGCAAGGATGTGGGGAAAAGGCACACTCTTACATTGCTGGTGGGACTGCAAATTGGTGCCACCATTCTGGAAAGCAGTAAGGAGATGCCTCAGAAAACTTGGAATAGAACCACCATTTGACCCACTCCTCAGTTTTTACCCAAAGGACTTAAAAATCAGCATTCTACAGGGACACAGCCACATCAATGTTTATAGCAGCTCAATTCACAATAACCAAGCAGTGGAACCAACCTAGGTGCCCTTCAACAGATGAATGGATAAAGCAAATGTGGTCAACAGAAGAATTAAACTATGGCATTTTGCTCCCCTCCAGACGGAACTGGAGACTGTCATGCTAAGTGCAATAGGCCAGTCCCCCAAAACCAAATGCCAAATATTCTCTCTGATATGTGGATGATAACACTCAATAAGGTAGAGGGAGGGAAGAATGGAAGTTCATTGGATTAGACAAAGGGGAAGGAAGGGAAGAGAAGGGGATGGGAATGGGAAAGACAGTGGAATGAATCAGAACTTTCTTGTGTTCATAATTAGAATAAGTTAAACTCCTTGAATGTAAACTATGTCAAAATACACTCTGCTGCCACATATATCTAAAGAGGAGAAGGACAAGAAGCCTAGGCCTGGACATGACACTCCACGTAGGTCTGAGAGGTACAGATGAGACAAGGACTCCTCATAACTTTTAAAAATACATGCTCTATATTTCTGTGTGGATGAATCACCAACAGCGACCACGAACTGAGTGCTTTCTACTTACAGGTTCTGGCCAGTCGAACTTGGCTCTGGGCAGATCCTCTACTCAGCTTATTGCTAGTCAAAATTACTTGCTGGGACGGCGTGGCCAATCTCATGCCGTCAGGGCCTTAGTCCAGAGAGGGCCAGAGACAACCCAGGGCCTCCCGGCTGGTAAGTGCTGAGCTGGAATTTGAACCCACTTCCCCCCTTGGTTCCAAGCATTCAGGCCTCGGCAGGCAGGCACCCTCCCCGTCCAGCAGGTCTGTCCCGGGTCCCCTCCTTAAAAGCCTTTATGTTCTTTGAACAGTTGTCCAAGTGCAGCCCCAATTTCCATGTGATTGTCCTTTTGGTCCCAGCTGCAACCCTTCCTGTTTACAGGGGGTCTAGTCCCCTGAGAGGCCTTGTTCTGTCTCGCCATTATTCTCTTCCCTTTGGCCACTGTAGTAGTGGCTAGCTGTCCCCTTTGTGTCATTGACTCATTGATAAATACACTAAATGAATCACAATCCTGTCCTTTATCTCTCAGCATCTGGCTTCCTCTTTTCTTTGTGTGAAGTGAGTGTCAACTGGCTCACCAAGTGTCTTATCCTGTCATCTAAGTGAAGAAATGCAGATCCCAGGGACCTCCCAGCTGAGGACTACCCTGCCATCCGCTGGCCCTGGCGAGGCAGACTGCCTGTCCCCACCACACCTGCGCCCCAAGTCCCCCGAGCTTTGTTCAGATTCCGCGTGCAGGGTGTGTTCAATGCCATGCACATTTGCTGGCCCTGTCCTCTTTGAAAAATCCCAGACCTGATAAGCGGAAGTGAGTACCTGCACATCAAACTAAAAGCAGCGGGACTCTAAGTGGGCGGAATGTTTCCTCTCCTGAAAGCCCAGCAATGGGCCCATCTATGGTCTAGCCTGCTGATAAAGAACTGGGAATGCTCCTTCTCCTTCTCACCCCTTTTGACCTGCACCAGGGCACCCCTGAGCAATTCTGTGAAGCCCTGCTCTCTGGAGCCTGGCTGCAGGTCCTGGCTGTGGGAGGGGAGTGAAGGAGGGGTCTGGATTTGCACAGGGGGCATCTCATCTGTCTGGTGGGGGCCGTCTGGGGGGCCTCGGGAAGGCAGCTTGGAAGGCTGAGGTGGACTGGTCTTCCCTGCGAAGCCTGGGGCAGCCCAACACAAAGGCAGAGCCCCCTGTGGGAGGGCGCTCTGGCCTCACCAGTGGCCGGCTGTCGCTTCTGTGGACACGCTGCAGGTTCCTGGGTATCTCACAGGGCTGGAAGGGCCTGGAGGGGTGTTGGGGGGTCAGAGCCCGGGCAAGGGCAGCATTTTGATGAAGGAGTGAAAAGATAAGGTCAGCTACTGTCTGCGGAGTCGCTGGGCACCTCCCACTCATTGTCACCACTCCACAGTCAGACCTTGTCACTTCTGTTGTGCAGGCGGGCAGATCAAGGCCTAGAGTGACGAGGGGGCAAGGCCACAGAGCTACCTGGTGGAAGGGCCGGGCTTTGGACCCAGCCTGGCCATACATGCACTACTGCACAACTGTTTATTGAGTGTCAACCACATGCCTGTCCCTGTCCAGGATTCTGGAGGGGAGGAAGGACCCAGACCAAGAAAAAAATTGAGTCTATGATATGATGCGGCAGGCGAAGGGTGCTATGAGGAAAGACAAAGCTGGATAAGAACATTCAGGTCAGGCCCGGCGGCCATGCTAGGTAAGGGGGCCGAAGAGCCCTTCTGAGGAGGACATCAGAGACAGGGACATGCATCAAGAGTGGGACCAGCACACAAAAACTAGGGACAGCCTACAGCAGCGAGTGCAAGAGGCCTGGGGTGCAGGCCTTGGAGGTGCACACCAGCGATGGAGAGAGCGGGAGCTGAGGTTATCGAGGAGGTGCGACTAGACCTCAAGGACCCGATGGGCTGGGCTGAGGCCTGCGGCTCTGAAAGAGATGACAGGTGCAGGGTCCTGGGGAGAAGAAAGGGTGGATCTGTTCCTTTAGAGCTAAGTCAGGCAGCTTTCTGCTGCTCCAGACAAAGCCACTCCAAACTGGAGAATAGCTAATGCCGTGTGGCGCCAGGATGTGGAGCCCTGTTGAAAGGACGGGGAGAGAAGGCTGGGGCAGGGGACCCTGGGAACCAGAATGAGGGCACAGTGTACCCCCGAGACACAAGCTACCCACGTTGCCAGGACGACCAAGTGGGCCTGTGGCCAGAGGTGATGTTTGCTTAGTGAAGTGCATGGTCACCCCCGGGAGCCAGCCCTGGCTGCTTCTGCTGTTCTTTGTGGCTGGGTTTCAGTCCTCTGTGAAGAGGAATAGGGCTGGGAACTCAGGGAGGCAGACAGAAGCCACCGAGCAAGAATAGAGGGCAGAGCTGCTAAAGGGCATTTGGGCTTTGTAGGTCTCTGTCCCCTCGGGACACGCCTGGGACAGAACCTCCAGTCACCTGGCAGGAGGCACAGGGAGCCCTCCTTTCAAGGACAGGATTCTGGCTGGGACAGCAGCACCAGAGGCCACAGTCCTGCGTGGTCCACAAGGTCACACTGCTAGTCTGTGGGGGCATCGGCTCCAAAGTGACACAAAAGCCAGAAGAAAGGGTTTTGTTTGATGCTGGCGGCTGTAGATCTGAATGTCACCTAAGGGGGAAGCCCTGAGCAGTCAGGATAACTGACACTCCAAGCCGGCAGGAAGCAGGGTGGGGGACACACAGTCCCAGGCTGACCTCATCTCAGGTCTCAGGTGTTTGGGAACTGGCAATTCAAGGACAAGAGGGGCTCTTGCTGAGAAGGCCCCCTCCCACGGACACAATCCCAGCTGGAAGGCCTCTGAAGCTGCCCTCCCC